TATATATATTATTTGTTTTTTCTCATAACTCCATCATTACACACCTACCACATTTTTCCCATGGAGCCTCAGTCAGTTTTATTGGTCTGACAAATCGAAAACTGACTGTGTGGCCAGCTTCAGATTCCGTGATGCCCAGAAAAAGAAAAAAAAAACATTCCAAAATAGGATGGTCTCCCTGAAAACCGCAATGGTGGAAAATGTCAGCAGTTCCTTGTCTAGCTGTCCACACGTTTGGGAAAATGGTATACAAGTCGTAACGTAGAACAAACTGGGAGAGGCAGATGGCCGGGGCTAGATCATTGGAACATACACTGCACAAGAAGGCAATCTATAAAAATCTTTTAAAGTAAACCTCCACTTCAGCCTAGGGAAAGAAGATACATACACACAATAGGTAGAACTTGATGGACCTGTGTCTTTATTCAACCTCAAATACTATGTAACTATGTAAGATTCCCATATGTGTTCAGGAATGCGGATAGCTATTTTAAATTTGTATGTTTTTGTTTTTTGGGGGGGAGGGGACATATATTTCATTACATATATCTTTATTGTACATTTTCGCAAAACTGCAAATACTTTTTGATCCTGCTGGAAATCCGGTGAGGTCATTACTTCCTGTAGTGAGCTGTCAACACTGCCTCTGTTGGAATTTCATGCGGGGTTGTCAGCCCTGCTGTGGACTACATAACGTCTCCCCTTTATATTGGATATCTACAAGGGCTGTCAGACCTCCGATCACATGTGGTTCACGAGTTTTCATTTCACTATTTTGTGAAAGTACAAAGTAGAAATTCTTCTTTTCCTCCTTTTTTGGAATTTTTGTTTTTGGACTTTTATGTTTATTGTATGATCTCCTTTATGGTATTGGTATGGTTAGGTTTGTCTTCATTTGTATGATCTCCTTTATGGTATTGATGTGAAAAGGATTGCCTTCATTTTTCCCTGTATTTTGTAGCCAGGGTTTTGTATTGATGGCATATTGACATGTTTGTTTCATTTAGATCACTTGTATTTGTTTTTTTATTTTTGTAGGTACAATAAGTTTTACAACGCTCGGTATATTTGCTACAATTGGATACATTTTTATTTATATATTTTAACCATAGCTCTGTGTAAAACACAAAACACCCAGCTGTTTACAAATAGAAATGTGTGTTGAAAGGGAGGCAAAGAAGTGTGATCACAATTGCAATGCTTTCCAGGCATGAATGCAAATAAAGAAATGCATATGATTTTTTTATATATATATAATTATGCATTTCTTTCATTTTTCCAAAAAATGAACTTCTCATTTTTAAAGATAAAAGGATGAACGCACAATAAGGGCCTGTTCACAGCGTAGCATTGCGTTAAACGTGTGGTACCTGTGCGTTTAGGGCCTGTTCACACGACGTCCGTTTTCTGTGCTTACCTGATCCGTACGCTCCTGCACTAAAAATGCATCCCTATGTGTTTTATGGGCTACAGTTCTCACGTGCGCAGTTTGTTCAGGTTACGACAGAAAAATACTACATGTCACATTTTGTACGGTCCGGAAACACAACGCATCAAAAACTCGTCAAAAATGCACTGCAGCTAACATACTGACAGCCCCACGCATCAAAAACGCGGCAAAACACATATCACCGCGTCTGCTGATCCGCACCTGATCAGGACCTGAAACTCATGTGAACAGGCCCTTAGTGCACACTAGGTGCACTGTGCTACCATGCATTCTGAATGGCACCCCAATGTACCTTTCCAGCGGATGCGCGTTGCGCTGCATGACACATCCCCCATAATAGTGTGCATTGCAGTGAAAAAAAATAATAACGCATACACAGCACCGTATTTTACAGTGCAACCCAAGGCCGCACTGTGTTAGGTGTGTGGGAGGTGTGTTAGGGTGCCATGAACCCACCAGGGCACCTAGCCTGCGCTGCATTGCGCTGTGCAGTAACGCACACTAAACACGCTATGGTAGAAACCGCCCCTAAGATGTTACAAGTAGAAAGAAGTGCTTAACCCAGATTTCTGTCTTGCAGGCTGCGAAGTGACCCCCGATGTGAACATTTCCGGCCAGAAGTTTATCATTAAGCTCCTCATTCCAGTGGCTGAAGGAATGAATGAAATCTGGCTGCGCTGTGACAATGTAAGATGCCACATTGTGATCCTCTTTTTTTTTTTATATATACAGGCGACATGAATGACCTAAGTTCTAATTAGAGGCGGAGTTAACCCTTTTTATGTTTGTTCGAATGTCTTTGCAGCAGGGTTGGGCAACTAGGGCCTTCCAGCTGTTGTGGAACTACAAGTCCCATGAGATATTGCGAGACTCTGGCACTTACGACATGACTCCCAGAGGCAGAGGGATTATGGGATTTGTAGTTCAAGCACAGCTGGAGGGCCAGAGTTTACCCACCCGTGCTTTAGAGGAAGCTGTGTCCAGATGCGTCCTCAGAAGGGACAGGTTTACTAGTGCAATAATGACCTAAAATACAAATAGATTTGTCTAATGCTGTTTGGATGATGATGATTGTTGCACTCGTATAGTACCCAGAAAGTCTTCTAGGGATTTGTATTTTCAGGGGATGATAGAACTTGACGTTCCCATGTTTAATACTTAAAGGAGAACTATGGGGTCAGTGTTTTTCCCAATAGTTCTCCTTAGGGTAACGGGAGGACACAAACAAGCGTCCTCCCGTTACCCTAAGCTCAGTATACTGCGAGCTACAGCTCGTGGTATACTGAGACGCCGGAGCAGATCCCGACTTAGACAACGGGATCCGCCCAGCTGCGTGAGAGACAGCTGGCTCTGCCTATCTAGAGGCAGAGCCAGCTGTACCCGCCCCCTCCCCGTCCGTACCGCCAGTCAGCGCTGGCAGATCGGAGCGGGGAGAGGGGAATCCAGCCCCTCGCCCTGTCACGGCGAACCCGGTATGTGTTCGCTCACTTCCCGATCTACTGAGCCGACCTGTGACAGTCTCATTGTCACAGGTCGGCTAGAACTATGAGGTGAGTGGAAATCACTCATCTCATAGTTCTCCTTTAATAATCATAGTGATCTGAACCCGACATGAGCCATTTCTTTATTCATCAATAGAACAGGTAAAAGTCAGAACTTCTCTCAAGGGTTTATTGCTGTCAGCTTTCTCCTTGGGGAAATTCCCCTCACTTCCTGCCTAAGTAACACTGAGACATGAAACGAGAGAGGGTGCCCCCAAAATAGGAAGGCAGAGAGTGATAAAAACCTGAAAGATGTAACTTCCCCCCTCTACAAAATAATTACGGTCTCTAGTCCCATCAGAGAGAGAGAGAGAGATCCCATCATTTCCTGACCTTGTGACAATAGCTGTGACAAGAACAGGAAGTGAGGTAAATATCCCCCCCCCCCCTCCAAGTTTTGGAAGGCATTGAGAACTTCTTCCTGCATAAGCTAGTTGCCTGACTGTGAAGTCGCTGACCCTCTGGCTTGATTAGTTTAAAGAGACCCTGTCTCCAACTTAAAGTGACATTAAACCCTCAGATTTTTTAACATAAACCAATACTGTAATGTGCGCCTTACTGTAATCCATGGTTGTTTCCCTTCTCTTTGCTGCTCTTCCTTGTAAATCCTCATGTCTTCTCATGCTGGGGGAGAACTTCCCTTTTCAGCTCAGGGCCTCTTCCTGTAGTGCTGGCTCAGATTACAAGCTTATACAAACGGATACACAGACACCATGTATCCTTTCCTGAGACAAGGCAGTCTGCTACAAAACAGAAGTTCTGCAGAGCATGAGAACAGATACAGATTTAAAAGGAAGAGCAGCAAAGAGAAGGGAAACAACCATGGATTACAGTAAGGCGCACATTACAGTATTGTTTTATGTTAAAAAATCTGAGGGTTTAATGTCACTTTAAATAATTGTAGGTAAAAGCCCAGAAAATCAAGTATTTTAAATGTGTGCTTGCATTGTTTTTCCTTCCCGTAAATTGTTTTTTTATTCACTCGCAATGTTCCTTTTGAGACTGTTCCAAAATTAATCTAGGAAAAGTCTTTCAAACCCCCCCCCCCCCCCCTCCTAGCACGTCATGGCTCTCCTCTTCTGTGAATGTCTAATTACTGTCTGTGTTAGCCCAGCTCCTCTGCCCCTCCCAGCAGCTCTCTACATAACCTTTTTATGTAGCTCCTGGGAGGGGGAGTGAAGAGGAATACTATAGAGCAGGGGTAGGTAAACTCTGTCCCTCCAGCGGTGTTGCAACTACTAATCTTAGGCATTGCAAGATTCTGGCAGCCGCAGGCATGACACCCAGAGCCAGATGCATGATGGGATTTTTAATTTCACTACAGCTGGAGGGCCGGAATTTGCCCACTCCTGCTATAGAGTGTCACTTGAGTGACCGTTCTGAATCTCCTGACATCACATCCAAGATGGCGGCACCCAGCAGCAGTCAGGAATTTTTGTACTGTTCACATTTCCATACACCTCTTCCTTTTTTTTATCCTGCAGGAGAAGCAATATGCTCACTGGATGGCAGCCTGCAGATTGGCCTCCAAGGGCAAGACCATGGCAGACAGTTCTTACAACCTGGAAGTCCAGAACATCTTGTCCTTCTTGAAGATGCAGCACCTAAACCCGGACCCTCAGTTCATTCCCGACCAGGTCAACTCTGACATCAACCCGGAGTGTGTCGTCTCGCCCCGTTATTTGAAGAAGTACAAGAACAAACAGGTACTGGGATTTCTCCCCCCAAATTCCACAATGGGGTTTTCTGGGCACTGGCTGCTGGTTTTGCTTTGCACCACGGCATTTACAGAGCTTCCAGTGCTGCTTTTGACAGTTGTGCATTTACAGTGCGAGACCCTGGAGTCTGTCCGTAATGGATTGCTGGGATAACTGTTCCACTACAATATGAGGAACAAGTAGGGTGACTTCAGGCCTTCTTTTAAGGTAACCTATGCTTTGGCCATGTAGGGCAAAGAGACCGGTTTCCCTTATTGCTTGCCCCACCCCATCCCCTTCTGCTTATAGCAGCACCTGCTTGCCCTTCTTTCACTCCCCTACCTCTTCATTCCACTCAGGAGCCATAGGAAATATCTGGGCATGGAGGAGCATTGGACTCGCTCCATATGATAGTAATGGGCAAGCAGTGCTATCACATAAGTCCACAGCTCTTGGTAAGCTGCAACTCGTAGCCTATACAGAGCTTTCCTTTGGTTTCAGCATCTAAATGAAGTGACAGGAGAGGGAAAGCAGTAAGTATAAGCTGCATTAACATGATCCTGTTGCTTTGCCCTGCATGAGCAAAGTGCAGGTTTCCTTTAAAGGAGAACTATGAGATTAGTGATTTCCACTCACCTCATAGTTCTAAGCCGACCTGTGACATTGAGACTGTCACAGGTCGGCTCAGTCGATCGGGAGGTGAGGGAACACATACCGGGTTCCCTCACCTCTCGATCCTGTCACGGCTCTCTGCCGTGACAGGGGGAGGGGCTGGATTCCCCTCTCCCCGCTCCGATCTGCCAGCGCTGACTGGCGGAACGGACGGGGGAGGGGGCGGGTACAGCTGGCTCTGCCTCTAGATAGGCAGAGCCAGCTGTCACTCACGCAGCTGGGCGGATCCCGTCATCTACGTCGGGATCCGCTCCAGGTGAGGCGTCTCAGTATACCGCGAGCTGTAGCTCGCGGTATACTGAGCTTAGGGTAAACGGGAGGACGCTAGTTTGTGTCCTCCTGTTACCCCAAGGAGAACTATGGGGAAAAACACTGACCCCATAGTTCTCCTTTAAGCACCTGATCTAGGTCCCTGTCTCATGGACACGACCAGCACAGAGCAGATATACTATATGCCCATTAGGATGTGGACATCTGACCATCAACTTATATGACCTTGTCTAACATCCCGTTCTAAAACCATGGGTATTAATATGGAGATGCCCCCTCCCCTTTTCCTCCATTGTCCTGGGAAGGCTTTCCACAAGAATTCAGATGGACTCTGTGGGATAGTGTCCATTCAGCCAAAAGAACATTTGTAAGGTCAGGTACTGAAGTTGGATGAGAAGATCTGGCTCACCATTGGCATTCCATCTCATCCTAAAGGCATTCAGTAGGGTTGAGGTCGGGCAACTTGCGTTCCTCCTCACCAAACTCATCACTCTATGTATTTATGGATCTGGCCTTGTCCACAGGGGCATAGTCATACTGGAACAGAAAAGGCCCTTCACCAAACCATTACCACAAGGTTAGAACAATTGTCTAAAACTCTTGGTATGCTGCAGCATTAACGGGACCCTTCACTGGAAAGAATTGAACTCCCTAATTTGGAGGAGTGTCCTCATACTTTTTGCCATATGCTGTAGTATAGTTCAGGTCTGCATGTCAAGCATCCCAGAAAAGTCTAGTAAAAGCAGGAAGACTTTGGCCAGCATCCCCTAAAGGGCATTCAGCATCAGGCCTGACACTGAAGCATAGCATTAACCAGGAGACGCTGCAAAGCCCCATTTTTAGGACCTGTCAGGGAAATTTGCCACGTTTTAAATGCCAATGTAACAATGTTTTTTAGTACGGATGCACCGATAACGTTTTTTCGGCATCGAGTACTAATATTTTTTTTCAGTACTCGCACATACTGATACCGGAAGTCCCATTAAGGAAGCCAGACGGCGTGTAAAGACTCGCCACCCAGCTTCCCGATTAGCATCGAATCCGTCTCCATGCTTCCTCATCACCAAGTGAGAGGACTTGTTGCCCGGCTTCCTGATTGGCCAGGGAGCCGGCTCCATCCTCCCTGGTTGTTGCATTGTGAATCATAGACGAGGCCAGCAAGTTTTTTTATGAATATTTCGGAAGGGGTTAACTGCACGGAAGCATGCGTCCAGGAAGCAGCTCGTATGGAGGTCAGATGGGCCGGTTGTGTCCCACAGAATCTCATGACATGAAGCTGCTGTAAAGGCAGGATGTGCCGCTGCGGCGGGGGGGATGTGCGGAATGTGATCTGCATGTTACCAGGGAGAAATGTCATCTGGCCGTCTCATGCAATCGAGACTGCCATGAAATTACACAGAGAGCCTCCAAATCTCTGTCTTCCTTTAGTACAAGTTGATGATGTTTTGTTTTGTTTTCTTGAGGACGGATTCACATGTTTTGCAGTGCGTTATTGCACGCGTGTTAACATCGGTTATGGCATGGGTTAATGTGAGCTGCATTAAAAGAGAACTATGGGGTAACCTTTTTATCCCATAGTTCTCTTTAGGGTCATGGGAGGACATCCTCCCGTGACCCAAAGCTCAGTATACTGAGAGCGCCGCAGCTCAGACAGATCACGACAATGCTGTTGAGATCCACCCAGCTGCGTGAGTGACTGCTGGCTCTGCCTATCTAGAGGGAGAGCCAGCTGTACCCACCCCCTTCCCTGTCCGTTCCTCCAGTCAGCGCTGGAGGATCAGAGAGGGCAGGATAACTGCGGGGAGCGGTGACTGACAGTCACCGCTCTGCAGGGAGATGATCAGAAAGTGAGCGTGCACCGGTATATGTTTGCTCACTTCCCAATCTATAGAGCCGACGTGTGACCGTTTCATTGTCGCAAGTCGGCTCGAGCTATGAGGGTGAGTGAAAATCACTCGCCTCATAGTTCTCCTTTTTAAGGCGCCCGGTTTTTAATGAATGGAGTGCCAACGCACCACTATGGATGAAAAACATCCCCTTTATGGCGCTGCAGCGCACCACAATGCGTGTGTGAAGTGCTGCACTGCAGTGCGCTTTGCTCTTCTGTACAATGTGTTGAATACCATTCACAATGCATGGCACCGCACGTGGGGAGGAATTTACTAAAACTGGGGCAGGCAAAATCTGGAGACAGCTGTGAATGGCAACCAATCAGCTTCTACCTTCAGCTTGTTCAGTTAAGCTTTGAAAATGAAAGATAGAAGCTGATGGCCATGCACAGGTAATCCAGTCTTAGCAAATTCCCCTCATAGTGAGCTGCCATCTATATTTTAGTGCATGTGAATGGGCCCCAAAAGTCATTTTCACTGAAACTTTCACAGTTTTTCTGTAAAAATACTTTATATGCAGATATAGATCAGGCAGTGTGGCCAGCATCACTGCTGACCACTTGCTGAGATGAAACCAATTAGCCACAGCCTATTTTTTTTTTCTCAATCAATCTGCACAGACGGTTATAATAAAGCTAAAGAAATGTCAGATTTAAATGGAATAAAAATGTCTTTTTATAATACAGTAACATGCTGTAACTTATACACTAGGAGGTTTTAGTGATTTGGATTTTGACCGATACTAAGTAATAATAAGACTCACACTGGCAATGCGTTGTGCTATGCTAGATAAATGTAACTGCTTTGTACTGCATGACTGTGTAGGAGTCCTGCATCCTCCACCACTGCCGAGTC